GGGAAGAAAGACTTGAGAAGGATGTGTCTAGGTTCTGTGTAAACACCATGCCATTTTTCTATAAGGGTCTTGAGCATCCTCATAGTTTGGCATCCGTGGGGGGGGGGGTGTCCTAGCATCAAGTCCTTGTGGTTAACTGGGGGCCACTGCACTCTGCTTTGCAGATTTACCCCCATCCTTCCCCACCAGCCCCAGGAAGCTGAATTCAATGGAACGCAGCCATTGGCTCTTCCGCGCTCTGGAGTCTTGTTGGGTTTAACCAATGGGAGATGTTGGTGGGAGGGTGGGCGGAGCAAGAAGGTGGGGTCCTCTTGTTGGACTTGACCAATGGGAGACGCTAGTGGGAGGGTAGGCGGAGCAAGAAGGTGGGGTCCTCTTGTTGGACTTGACCAATGGGAGACGCTAGTGGGAGGGTAGGCGGAGCAAGAAGGTGGGTTCCTCTTGTTGGATTTAACCAATGGGAGATGTTGGTGGGACGGTAGGCGGAGGAAGAAGGCGGGGTCCTCTTGTTAGATCTGACCAATGGGAGACGCTGGTGGGAGGGTGGGCGGAGCAAGAGGGCAGGTTCCTCTCAACTGTGTGCCTCCAGCTGCAACCTGGGCCGGGACCCTCTGCTGGGGCTGCCGCTCCCGAGTGTAGGTTTGTGTGTGGTTACACCCTACCCCGCCATATTCCTTTTGCGTGTGCTCTTTGTTCCCTGAGGGGGTCCTAAGCCTCAGAGTACCGAGATGGCCCTGTGCAGGGATCCGAGGGACGGAAAGCAGAGCTTTGGAGAATCACGACTGTCACTAGCGGGCAGCGCGGGGAGCAGGGGACGAGAGGGACAGCTCTCGCCAGTCAGAGGCAGCTCCTAAAAATGTCCTCCTTCACCAACAGCCGTTCCCCACCCCGGGAGCCCTGGGAGGCCTGGCTGGGGACAAGCTTTTCCAGGGCACGATTCCCACCGCCGTGGCCCCAGCAGCGGCAGCACCGGCGATAACATGCCGGGCTCCTTGGAGGCCTTCCTGGCTCCGTCCCATCTGGCAGGCCCAGGCGGCCAGGGACCCCAGGCCAGGAGCCGCCAGCTCACTGACTCAGCACAACGCCCCTCTCTCAGCAGCTCGGCTCTGGGTGGGAACCCACCAGCCATCCGGTGTCCCCTCCCCTCCCCTTGGAGGCGGCCATCCCTCGGGTTGGACCAGCCCCAGGCCCTTAATGAGTGTTGGCCGCCGCCTGGCCTGGGCCTTGGTGCTCCGAGAGAGAACACGAGCTCAGGCAACGGAGGACACAGGGCTCTGCTGGGCAGCCAGGGAGAACTCTGTCTCCTGCCAGCCTCCCCCTGAGGCCCCAGGGTCTGAGGATCTCAGCGCTGGAAGGCCAAACAGCCCTGGGCCGGTGCAGATGGGGACACTGAGGCTCAGAGAAAGCAATTCCCCAAAGCCCACTCCAATCGCTCTTAGAACCCAGGCCATCACTGGGCAGTGCTTCCCGGGGAAGAGTTTGATGGATTTCTTCTCTGGTTGAGGATGCTGGTCACCAATGTCCCCTGTTGGTAACCAAGGTTCCTAGCAGATCCTGTGGGGTTGGAGTCCTTGCTTTTAGAAGATTTTAATTATATTCGGGCCTCTAGGTAGTTCTCACAACAGCCCTACACCAATTGAGGTTGGGCTCTTTGCCATAAATTAGAGGCTCAGAGACGGGAATTAACTTGCCTGAGGTTGCATAGCATGCACATGGCTGAGTCAAATTTCAAACTTAAGTCTCTTATGTTCTAAAGTTTGTGCTGTGCTGTCCAAATGACACTCTCTTTAAGGTTTTTCCGAAGACAGCACAGCATACTAGGAAAGAGATGAAGATGGTGCAGGGTTCAGGAAACCTGAGGTCTGGTCTCAGTTCTGCCTCTCCCTTACCTTTGTGTAACCTTGGGCTAGCTCCTTTGCCTCCCTGGGAGGATGGCCTGGCTTTATTTATTTGAGATTCTACCAGCCACGCACGCAGGCAAGCACTATGATCCCGCTCACCACCATTTTTTTTTGGTACTGGGGATTGAACCCACTGAGCCACCTCCCTAGCTCTTTTTTATGTTTTTATTTAGAGACAGGGTCTCACTGAGTTGCTTAGGGCCTTGCTGAGTTGCTGGGGCTGGCTTTGAACTCGAGATCCTCCTGCCTCAGCCTCCTGAGCGGCTGGGATGATAGGCGTGCACCACTGCACCCTGCAGATCCTCATTTTATAGAGACAGGAAAGATGAGACCTTATTCATGGTGAATGAATGAGATGTGATCTCCAGAGGGGCTTCCATAGGCCAGGTACTATGTCCCCAGAGAGGAACATAGTACCTGCCCAAGGCCTCACCCCTAGGAAGTGACAGAACTTAGTCAGTGGAGTCTCTGACACACACAGACTTAGTGGCTGCCAGGATTGTGGAAAAGTAGCCAGGGTATCGATTTTCCAACTCTTGCAGAAAACCTCTTGGATCCTCCTTGAGACCAGTCCATGGCACTCAACGGATCTCAGAAATGACACTCTCCTGGGAACATTTGGCCTGGAACATATTTACAAAACTCCAGAGGGGATAGAAATATCCCAACCCACTCCCTACAGACTCAAATTAGCAATTTTCTTCTTCTTTATAACCCCTCTGGAAATTTGAACTATGTAATATTAGTCTAAAATTAGGAGCATAAGTCACAAGAGAAAAGTGCCACTACTTTGGGAGAAAATATTTTCGTAGCCTCATCCTGAGCATTTGTTCTAAATCAGAACACAGCAATGGCTCTTTCAAACACATAAATTTTTTTTTTCTCCTAATACTTGTGGATTGGGGCAAACATCTTTTCAGAGATGTTTTTCTGTTGGCAGTACTGGGATTGAAACCAGGGGTGCTCCACAGCCCCAGCCCCTTTTATATATTTGAGACAGGGTCTCATTAAGTTGCTGAGGCTGGCCTCCAACTTGCGATCCTCCTGCCTCAGCCTCTGTAAAGACATTGGATCAGGAAGAGCCAAGGGCCCCCCAGGATGCCTTTCTTACACAAAGGTACTTTAGTTTTAAAATTTGATTAGTTAACTTTTTGTGTGATGGTGGGGACAGAACCCAGGGCCTTATACATGCTAGGCAAATGCTCTACCACTGAGCCACAACCCCAGACCACAAAGAGCACCTTAATAATAACAACCCCAGCAAGGCTCTGCAGCCAGTACTGGTTGACATGTGCCAAGAAAACCATGCAGAAGTGTTTTACAACCGTCATTACACTTAATCCTCACGATAGCCCTGCAAGATGGGTTCTGTCACCCTGTTTTACACACCAGGGCAATTTGAAGTGGTTAAGAGATTGGCCAGAGCCATATGGCTACGGAACCAGACGTTGTGGAGTTAGAATTTTAACCCAAGTCAGCAGAACGCTGAAGTCGACATCAAGATGCAGTTGCCATTTATTGAACACCTACTGCCTGTTCACAGAAAGGACTTTATTTTTCTAATTAAATTATTTGTGTGCGCTTGTGCAGTGCTGGCGAGCTAAACCAGGACCCTGAGCTTGCTAGACATAGGTGTCACTGTCACTGAGCAACACCACCACCAGGTCTCATTTTCTAGAATCCCATGACAAACGCAGAGCCTTTCTGGAAAAGTTGGGTGGGCAGGTTTTGAGTTATGGGTGACCAGGGGTAATGGTGCCCAACACTGGGCCAAAAGATTGTAACTTGGGTTAGAGGGACTGAAGTGGGAAAGAACCCTCAGGGGGCAGTCATACGTGCGTGGTGTGTGTGACTCAGAGGCAGAGCCGGGACCAAGGGCTGATGGTCATCCCCAGAGCATCCATGCCTTCGGGAAGTTGTGCAGGGGCCGGACAAGCAGTTGGAAGCATCGTAGAGGGGATTTCTACTTGGGAAGCACTGACTTTTGGGGAAGTGAGCTTTCCAAATTTCAGATTGGATCCTATCCCCTTTCTGCTTGGCAACATCTACTGGATCCCAACGGTCTGCAAATCCAATCCAAGATGGCGCCTCTCCATGAAGAGTAAGCTGGTTTCAATCCCGCTCTGACTTTCCACTCCTGGCCCCTTGTGCTCTGACACTTCTGCGTCTCCCCACGTCCTCTCTGAATCCATAAATCTCTAGACAGCTGTCCCTGCTGCTGAGTTGGTAAAGACTCACCCCTGGGTCTCCTGGAGAGCAGGGCTCGTCCACCTTCATTCTCAGGCAGACTTGACTGAGCGTGTGCTCAGTGAATGGGTGGGATTATGACACCTGACACCTTTCAATCTCTGTGATCCTATTTATTTTATTTTACTTTATTATTATTATTATTTTTTTATTATTTGGGTACTAGGGATTGAACTTAGGGGCACTCAACCTCGAAGCCCCATCCCCAGCCCTATTCTGTATTTTATTTAGAGACAGGGTCTCACTGAGCTGCTTAGGGCCTCGCCATTGTTGAGGCTGGCTTTGAACTCACGATCCTCCTCCTTCAGCCTCCCAAGCCGCTGAGATTATAGGTGCCCACTGCACTGGCCAAGATTCTATTTATATTTTGAAGTGGGCTCTCATTATGTGGTCCAGAGTGACCTTGAGCTCCTGGACTCATGTGGTTCTCCTATGTCACACCCTGCCACCAAACAGCTGGAACTACAGGTGCACACACTATGTCTGGCCATCCTGCTATTTCGTATCAGCATTAAACGGAAGGAATGCCATGTGCAACCACATTTATATAAGAGACTTGAGAGGCTGAGGCAGGAGGATTGCAAGTTGGAGGCCAACCTCCACCATGTGCAACCAATTGTAACCACATTGGAGATGTGGAGATAATGATAGTGATCCTGATGTAACCAGAGATAACCAGGAGCCGGAGCAGAAACCAGAGGAGGTGAGAAAAGAGAAAAACAGGGAGGTGGCTATCTTATGAAGAACAGAAGTCTTGCTGGGTGCAGTGGCACAACCCTGTAATCCCAGAGACTCCGGAGGCTGAGACAGGAGGATTGCAAGTTCGAGGCCAGGCTCAGCAATTTAGCAAGGTCCTCGGCCACATAGTGAGATCCTGTCTCCAAATAAAAACTACAAATGGACCGGGGATGTGTCTCAGTGGTAAACTGTCCCTGGGGACCAATTTCCAACCTCCTTTCTCCCCTGTTTTATCAACAGAGGTTTGTAGTAGATATCAAGTCATCAGGGCCTGGCTTCGGTCACCTCAAAGAAGTCATGAAAAAAAAAATCACTGGAATCAGTTGTCAGTAAGCCTAGCAATGCCCTTGTCTTTTCTTCTTTAATGGTGTTGATGTGGCCATCCCTCTGGTTTGTGTGTGTGTCCCCAAACCTATAAATGGGAATTTGCAGTGTGACACCAGTGGACGCTGTTCCCTCTTTCTCTCCGGTGCCTCGTGCATGCCGAAGACATGTTCTCCGATGGGGTTACGCCCCACGTCCCCATGTCACCTCTCTTGCTGACCTCTTGTTTCAAGATCCCTCCTTCAGATTTGTAAAGAAAAGGCCCCTCCTTCACGGGGTCCTCTGTGGTCCTTGGGGGCACAGAGGAGGTGCTGGGGCTCAGGAAACTGGAAACATTTTTTTTTTTTTGGACTCTTGACCAAAATTACTTCCCCCCCCCCCGATTTTTATGAACACGAATCCCTAAGCGTGTTTTATGTCCAGAGAAAAGTCCTGTGAATAACCGATGATACATGTGTTGATGAACTTGTGAATCATCCTGGGGGGAGAGAAGGGGGGGAGGCCAGAGAGAGGGGGCAGGAGCTTTGGAGGCTGAATATAATGTGTTGTAAAATATTTAGCAAATGCTCATCCAAGCCACAGGGAAAATGTCAGAGACTTGGGAATTTGCAAGCTGCCAGGATTTAAAAGCTATTTAATATTATCCATCCGTGCCAAAGAGTGGAGAGCGCCTCTCTCTCCCCCCCCCCCCCCACCCTCCATTGGCAACCACAGCCCCGATAATGTGGAAAGGGTTTGGATGGGAACTGAGATCCAACAGGCAGCAAGCTGAAAGGCTTTTTGTTTGAGAACTTTGTAAACAAGGGATCTCTTTGGAGGTCCCTCCCAAAACTCTCTACCTTCCCAGTCTCTTCTCCATTGTCTTTTGTCAGAGCTGCTTGATGATAAACTCGTTCCCTATAGAACCAACAGAATGAGGACTCTTAGTCAGTCATCTGGATGTTTCCTATTATTATTATTTTTTTTTTGGGGGGGGGGTACTGGGGATTGAACCCAGGGGTGCTTATCCACTGAACTACATCTCCAGCCCTTTTTCTTTCTTTCTTTTTTAATTTAGACACAGGGCCTTGCTAAGTTGCTGAGGCTGGCCTCCAACTTGCCATCCTCCTGCCCCAACCTCCCAAGTCTCTGGGATCATGGGTGTGCTCCAACCGAACCCCGCTTTACAGATTCATTCCTGATGATTCAGTCTTCATTCATCTTTTGACTTCCGCTGAAGTCTTAACAGCCCTTCAGAGTCTGAGCCATCTACCTGGCACGTGATTTCTACTTTGTGGTATCATCTGTTTTAAGGAAAGACTAATCTGTTCTCCTCAATTCAATTGGAAATTCCTTTTCTTTCCGTAGGTGCCAAATCTTAAAAAACAGTCTGTGTTAGCCAGAGGTTTTTAACAGGGTTCAGTGTTCAGTTGAAGCTTGCCACTGGCTAATTGGAACATGTGGTTTTACATTAGTAGGCAGTACGGTTGGCTCTGCCTATCTGTGGGTTCTGTGTCCATATGGATTCAACCAACCATAGGTAGAAAATTGCATCTGTTTGAATGTCTATAGATTTTTTTTTCTTGTCATTATTCCCCAAACTATATATTCTAACAGTTATTTACAAAGCATTTACATTGTATCGGGTGTCCTCAGCCATCTAGAGATGATTTAAAGTCTGTTAGGATGAGCTGGCACGCCTGTAACCCCAGCAATTTGCGAGTCTGAGGCAGGAGGATTGCAAATTCGAGGCCAGCCTCAGCAAATTAGCAGGCTTCTAAGCAACTTCCCTGTCTCAAAGAAAACAACAAAACAAAAAGGGCTGGAGTTATGGCTCACTGATCCAGGGCCCCTAATTTTAATCCCTGGGGCCCCCAAAAAGTAAAAGACTGAATTCTTGGTAAGTCAAGTGATATGGTGCCTATCCAGGTTAAAAGAAAGAAATGTTTGAGCAATGTCTGGATGATATATATGTGTATAAATTATATATGTGTAATATATATATATATATTTTTTTAGATTGAGCCACCCAGGGTCTCAAGCATGCTAGGCCAACATGCTACCACTGAGTCACACCCTCAGCCCCCCCCCCATTCACATTTTTAAAAGTGACTAAGAAAGGAAGGAAGGAAATAGAAAGACGTCTGTGGGGAGAGCCTAGGAGGGTAGGGTGGGCAACAGAACAGACTCCGTCTTCAGATACTGTCAGCAGTTTCAATAACATGATAATTTTTAATATTAAAAGTAAATTGTAAATGTATCTTTATAAACAATATGCATAAAATAGATCATATTCTAAAACCTTTTTTTTTTTAAAATGCTTTTTTTTTTTTTTTCACAGTAAATTTCTTAGGTGTCAGATTTTTTTTTTCCCCTCAAAATAATAGTGCAATTGGAAGAAGAGACAAGCTGTCGCCGGAGCGGGCCTTCTGGGCTAATACAGGTCCTTGTAGATCTCCTGCAGGAGCGGGTGCAGACTCATGTCCGTCTCCGTCTTCTTGATCACTTGCAATAGCTGCACGTGCTCGGTGACGATCTGTCTGAGGTCTGTCATTTTCTGGAGCAGCTTGGCGAACAGCTGCGAGGCCTCGGGGTGGTTCAGCTTGAGCTGGAGCTCCAGGGCTTGCAGCAGGTTGTCCTGGATCTCCTCGATGGGCTTCACGTTCAGCAAGCCTGGGCGGTCTGCAGGGCACAAACGGAAAACACAGGGGCTCAGTCACAGCAGCTCTGGGCAGCTCCAGGCTGCTCCCATTCCTGATGGGGTTTTGTTTTGGAACTCTGGGCTGAGACACACCCCCTGGGCCCTGTTTGGCTTCTTACAGAGTCAGACAGGAGGGTGGTAAGCAGATCGTGGGCAGGAACTGAGGATGGAATGGAAACCAAACCATCAGAGCTCCTTCCAGAGAATTCTTTTCCTGGCCAGGCCTAAATCTGGGTGGTTGATGTAACCACGAACCTCAGAACAATTCTGTCCTCAAATTGAGACCTCTTCTGCCGGCAAGGTTCTCCTCAGAAATCTCATTTCCAAGTTCTGCTCTTTCTGGATGAATCGGTCTTAAACAGATTCTATCTACCCTCTTCAAGTATGCTTTAAAAAAAAAAAAAGCATTGTGTTTTTGGCTTAATATAGTATATTAAATTTTCAATGTGATAAAACATAGTTTTAAAATAAGTGTTACAGTTTGGAAGGAGAGACTCCCTCCCTGTCCCCAACTTTAACAGCTTGATTCTAAGTGGGGACATTGCAAGTAATTTTTGTCCACATCTTCTTGGTTCTTATTTCAATTTGTAAATGAACTTAAATTACTCTTAAACTTTTGCTGTTTTTCTTCATGTAGACCTTACTGGATTTATCCTTAAGTACTTTAGGATAAATCTACTGTGAATGGACTCTTCATTTGCAATACATATCTAATACATCCCTGCAGATGTTTAAAATATTATTGATTTTAGTTATACTGGATCCATTCTAATTTTCTGAACTCTGTCAGCTCAAATAGTTTTTAGTCAAGAGTATTTAAATTTTTTGGATGGGTAATTACATCTGCAAATAATGGGAGCCTTGTTTCTTCTTTTCCACCATTTAAACTTCTCATTTCCTTTTCTTGTCATATTGTGTTGGCTTAAACTATATTAAATTATAGTTGCAATAAGAGACTGCCTTTCTCCCTCACTTTCTCTCTTTCTTTATTCCTTTTTTCTCCTTTCTTCTTTCTTTTTGAGAAGGGCTTTAACTATAGTATCCAGGCTGGCCTCCAATTCCTGGGCTCCAGTGATCCTCCTGTCTCAGCCTCCAGAGTAGCTGCACCACACCACACCTGCTGGGACATTTTTCTTTCACTTCTTACGAAGAAGGAAATGCTTACAATGGCTTCCCACTAAGTATGATATATGTTATAGATCACGGCCAATGTACTCTTGGTTTTCCAAGAATTTTAAAGGTTTTAGTTTGTTTTAGTTGGGCATGTTGGTTGAATTTAATCAAACGCTTTAAATTTTTTTATAATCTGAAGAGATATGATATCTAAAGAGATATAGTTTTTTCTTAACCTGGTACAGTGAAGTACATTAAGAGATTTCTTTAGACCTTTGCATTCATTTGCTAGTATTTTATGCAGGGTTTTCACATTTGTAAGGTCCAGAGTGTTAGTTTCATGCTACTCTTTGCCTGTTTTGGCAGTTAATGTTAATTAGTGTCATAAACAGATCTGAGAAGTTTTCCTTCTGTTTCTATATAGTCATGACCTGTCCCTTGGTGGTTTCTTGGAAATGGTTTGCAGAACCACTGAGCGTGGTGATAAATCTTTCACTGCCTTTAATTTGTTTTCCATAGTTTCTATTCATGCTTTCTAGAACTTATAGACAAAATTTTAGTAATTTACACTGAGATGAAGTTGTACATGCCTGGGCTGACCTCAAATTTGCAAAGCTCCTACTGAAGTCTCCCAAGCTTCCAAGATTATAGACACGCACTTGACGATGCTCTTTAACCATGAATGCTCTCATTAAAAAAATCTGACCTGCCAACTATTTATCAACTTTTTTTTCTTTTTTTAAACATATAGCTTTTCCTGGGTATGGTGGCATATACCTGTAAACCCATCTACTCAGGAGGCTGAGGCAGGAGGATCGAAAGTTCAAGGCCAGCCTGAACAACTTAGCAAGACCTTGTCTTAAAATAAAAAATAAAAAGGGCTGGGGATGTGGTTCAGTGCCCCTGGGTTCAATCCTTAGCACCACAAAAACAAAACAAAATGGGAAAAAAAAAAAAAAAAAAAAGCAACCTTGTCACCTGTCAGTAAAACGCAAAACCTGGTGTTTGGATTTCAGTCTTAACCCTTACTCCCTGGCACTGTAAGTACTGATTTTCTCATTTCTCTCCCCTGTAGTCCCGGAGGTATCCAGGGCAGAGACTGTGTCCTGACAGCTTCTGACCACCGGGAACCACATGTTGGCCAAGTTAATGAGGGAGACGGCTGTTCTGGCCAAATGCACTGGGCTGGAAGG